TCCATCAGTACAACCTGTATAGTGAATACCTTGTATGGTTATTAGGGTAACTCATCATCCAAGTCTTCCGGGGACTAAGAGGTTTCCCAGGACATAGGATTTTCAATCCTAAAACCAGAATAGTCCTGGCTGAACTAGGACAGTTGGTTATCTTAATGGTAAAGCAGGTTCTTAAAATGTACCTTTTATCTCCCAGAGGGCCTACAGCATGTTGAAAAAATAAGACTATGCAAGTGTCATTATATTGAGGATGACTGTTTGGAGAGACTTGGTAAACTTGAAAATTTACAAAAAAGCATATTGGAAATGGAAATAATTTCATGTGGGAATATCACAGACAGAGGCATCATTGCTTTATATCACTTAAGGTAGGTGGTCAGTGTCAAAATGGAAACTTGATAATTAGGTTAAAATGAATAATTAGAATTTAAATTAAAAAGAATTTTTTTAAGTAAACTCTATCCATAGTGTGGGGCTCGAACGCTCAACTCTGAGATGAAGAGTTGGATGCTGTATCAACTGAGCCAGCCCAGTGCCCTGAATAATTAGAATTTAAAACAGTTGAGGGGCACCTGGGTGGCTCAGTCTAAGCATCTGCCTTTAGGTCATGATCCCAGGGTCCTGGGATTGAGCCCCACATCGGGATCCCTGCTCCAGTGGGAAGCCTGCTTCTCCCTCTCCCACTCCCCCTGCTTGTGTCCCCTCTCTTGCTGTGTCTCTCTGTCAAATAAATAAAATCTTTCAAAAAATAAATAAAACAGTTGAGAGGTGGCACCCTTTTTTAATTTGGAAAAAATACATAAAATGACTTAACTTTCATCTGTAATACTTTCAAACAGTTAAAATTATCAACCTTAATACATTGTTTTATTGCATTTCTTAGGGGACATCTCTTTTAAAAAGTATTTACTTAATAAATATTTATATTTGGTTGCTGCACTACCATGGCCAGGAGAGGTGGTAGAAGGACTACAACCAACTTATTATTAATTATAATAATTATTTGTTAATAATTAAGGCACCTAGCATGGTGCCTGCTCCAGTAAGCGGCCAGTGCATTTGCTATTATGCTTCCTCTCCATCTTTTAAAGCATTTTTTCCCCATGTTCTGACAGTAACCTCAGTATCACAGGAAGTTTAAGCAATTTTATTTTTTTTTTAGTAATTTCTATACCCAGTGTGGGGTTCGAACCCACGACCTCAAAATCAAGAGTTGCATGCTCTTCTGACTAAGCCAGCCAGGCATTCTCCACTTTTTTTATTTCTTTTTAGTAGAGAAACTTTAAACATTGGAACCAAAAGTAGTAGATTGTCTCTTACATTAGTTGAGGCTTTGAGACTTCATCTTTTAATGAAGTTCCTTTAAGAACTTCCCCAATTTTTTTCCCTTTCTAGATTAAGATTCGTATTACGTATTTCACATGCAAAGGAGTTCTATGCTATAATACATCTGTAGTATTTGGAAAGATTCAGCTAGAATTATTGATGTAATTCAGAACAACTAAACTTCCCAAGGTTTGGCTTAGTTCCTAGCATGAATTTCATTTAAAGTCGCATTCTTAAAATTGCTGTTCTAAAAGTCATTTTGAAAGTATAGTATAGTGTGATATAAGTGCATTCTGTGTCATTTTTTCTAAAAGCCTTTAATGGAGTTTAATTTTAATGCTGTAAGAGTAAAGGCCAACTGTGGTAAATTTTTTTTCCTTCTTTTTTTGCAGAAACCTCAAGTATTTGTTCTTAAGTGATCTTCCTGGAGTAAGAGAAAAAGAAAACCTTATCCAAACCTTTAAGACAGCACTGCCTTCTCTGGAACTAAAGTTAGACTTGAAGTAAAATAATAATATTCGATAGGTGTCTTATTTCAATATACAGTATCATTTGAAATTGTTGACCCTAAACAGCAATAAATATTATATAATCAACAGACCTTAAGGATGTCATATCATGACATTTCAGAAGCAGAGTCCATCATGTAGAGAATATTCAGATGACTCAGTCTATGCACATTAAATCATTTTAAGAAAAATGGAAACCAGGTAGCAGTTTAATTCGAATATAGTCCTCATTTTATATATCTATGTAGATAACTCTTGATGTAGATAATGACAGAGTTCTTTAAAGTGATTTAGGGGCGCCTGGGTGGCTTAGTCGGTCCAGCATTTGCCTTCGGCTCAGGTCGTGGTCCCAGGGTCCTGGGATTGAGCCCCTCATCAGGCTCCCTGCTCAGCTGGGAGCCTGCTTCTCTCTCTGCCTCTCCCCATGCTTGTGCTCTCTCTCTGTCAAATAAAATATTTGAAAAATATATTTTAAAAAACTAAAAAAAATTAAGTGATTTAAATGTGCAACAGATATTCTTTATTGTACTTTATCAGTAATTTATAGGACTGTTACCTTTTACTGTAAAGTTACTGAAGCATGCTACTATAAATATACAATGAGAAACTGAAAGCTAAATTTCAGATTCATTGGTGGAGCCAATCATAAAAGGCGGTCAGTTGTTGTTGAGGCATTCATATTGCTTCCCAGGATTTGCATGCATTTCTCATGATCCTATGTTCCTGTGTTCTTTATAATATACACCTTTCTCTGGCTAATTTGTCTATTTTGTAAGCTTAGTCGAGGGTTTTATTAAAACTAGACATAAATACTTGGCTGAATTCAAATGGTTTTGCTGACTGCAATAAAACAGAAGAAATGATCATGAAGACCAGCACAATTATACTTATTTTTGCTTAAAATATTGCTTTAAATAGAAAATTTTAACATGTCAGTTAGAAGCTAATTTTTATTCCCCCACACATCTTGGATACTGCTTCCTACGGGCTCAGGGGACAGCAAAAAGAAGTGCAAAAAAAAAAAAAAAGGTATAAGCGCAAAATTCAGTTTATATCTAGAGAGCAGTGACAAAGAATATCACATATGGATAAAAACAGATCTTTATTTTGACCTTGAAATGGCCCTGGTTTTATTACTGTTAATTATATGCCAACTTGTTTGTAGATTTCTGTATGTTTGGTTTGAACATTATGCTCTTAACTATAACCTTGACTAGAAATAATTTTAAAATAAACACTGTATGATGCAGCATTTGGGTAGAAAAATGAATTTTAGTTGTGTTTAGAAGCCAGCTTATGTAAATAGCACATGCCATAATTGATATACTATCTACAAATAAAATTGCCACTGTCAATTATAAAATCAGAACACAGTAAATTAAAAAAAAAAAAGACTAAGATGTAGAACAGTCTCGTGAAACGGTGAATCCATGCTGAACGAAGGATTACAGATGTGGTTAAATTAAGCATTGGTACACATTTAATAGAACTCATTAGAAAAAATGAACGCTTCCATCTCAAATTTGATTATTGTGTGGTGAGGCAATGGATTCACTACAATTTAGTCTAGAACTACTTTTGTATTCTGAATGGTTTTCTATAAAACTACTGAATGAATTAGGCAGTTACAGTCATCTGCCTCGTCAAGTGCATTGTTTTGGGTTAAAAAGGAAAACAGAAAATGTCAACAGAAGTGGGATGACCTTCCTTGTCATTTGAATCAAAGCCACGTGAGAAGAATTAGATACTGCTGGGACTAGTATTTAACCCCTGTCAGCTCTTCGCCAGAAGCTACATACATCCCGGAGCCTCAGGGTATCATTCAACTGGCTGGAGGAGCGAAAATTAGTGAACAGACGCCCAAATTTGGTGAATTTACTTAGCAGTAAGTGAATAAAGTCAAATGCTGTCATGAAGGAAGTTACCAGAGCACAGAAGGAAGGTTTTGAAGAGACAGTAAAATAAAATTTCAAAGAGCATGGCTGGGAACCACTGAGGAAGAAGCAGCAGAACATCAACCGAAACTGGCAGTGGATGTGAGCTTCATCTTGCCCTTGTGTTCAGGGACGAGAATGAGAAAGCGTTTGGAACAGGAGCGGCAGGCCAAGTCAAAACTAATTATATGTCATCCTTTGAAGTATCACGAGACAAAGCTAGGAGTCCTCAGTATCATTTTGGACTCCTTTCTTAGTAGTTACCAGTTCTTAGCATAGTATATGTACACACACACGTGTTTAGGTATTTATATACACACATACATACATACAGTATCAAAAGGCATTTCAGGGACAATCTCAGTTTACAACCTAATGTCTTTCATGGTCTGAGTAAAAACCCACAAGCAATTTCTTCCAAAACCCAGATCATTACAGATAGTCCTGCCTGTAGATCTGTCTCCAAGTCTGAGGCGGAGCTGGAGAGAATGAACTAATTACTTTCAGGCTGATAGGCTCTGTTCCCGTGAAGCCTGTAGGTCTTGTTCTACTCCTTGATTCAAGCCTTGGTCAGCTGCCAGACTTCACACCATGGTTTGCAAGGGGAACTGGGTCACCTGGGGAGGGGTTATGTAAACCCATCTTGCCTGCAAAAATGACTTAAGGTGCAGCCTTTACTAAAGGGAAAGACAAAAGTATATGTAAGAAATGTCTACAAACATTAAATATGCAAGTCATGCTGTTACAATAATCCATGATTTTAAGTATTTTGAACAACTTAAATATACTAAAAATGTTTTAAAATATGAAAATCTAGAGAGAGCAAGGAGGAAATAGAATTGTAACATTTTGATTTCAGGAACTAAAACTCTTCCTAAATATGATGTTGAGACAGTCTGAAAAGGCAGGGGATAGGACTCAAGGCAAAAGCTCTGCAAGAAATACATACGGGTATTTTGTAATCATTTTTCACTTGTTGCATATGGTACAATAGAAGCATAAATACATTTCTAATTTTGCCAGAGATAGGGGTAGTAAGTACAGTTTTTATTTCTGTCCTTTAGCTTAGCTACTTAGATACAACAAAAATGCAAGTGAAAACCCAAACAAGTGTTTCCTTTCCATTCTGATCACCATCGTGAAGCCTGGAAGGCTGCCTCTGGAATTTCCCTTTATGTTCTGCCAGGTGGCCTCCCCCCTTCTCCGCCCCCCGCCCCGTTTGTTACTTATGTTTTCTCCTGATGTTCTTTCAACATCATGATTGTTTTCAAGCAAATGTATACATTTCATTTTCTCCAAATTATTAACTCCTTTTTCATCATCCATCTCCAAGCTCCTTAAATGTTTGGAAATTGGCAGTTCAGTTTCTTCATATTCCAGTAGTACTTCTTATTATCCAAAGCTGGAAGGAAGCCGCTGCTGGTCAGCTGAGGTAGGCCCTGCAACTACAAATACAAAACACAGAATGCGGTTCAATGCTGTGTGCTCTTTTCATTATTGAGTACATAGCCCAAAAGAGGTAAGTAAGTCAATTTTTCAGCCCAGAAATACTTTTTCTGCACAGAATCCAGGACCTGAGGGCAAAATGTTTAAATTTGTTCCTTTTTCCTTTTAAAGATTTATATTAAAAAGCAAAACATGCACATTCAAGAAAATTTAGAGAATATGAAAAAGAAAAATTGACATGTTAGCATTATTGGGAAAAAAAACCATAGATTTACAGGAGGTAAGAACTTGCTAGGGCCTCAGGGATCATTTAAGCCAAAGCTTGTCTTGCCAGCAAAGAAAACTGACGTCTGGAGCACTTAAGTGATTTGCCCCCTTACACCTTAGTTCAAAAGGCAAAACGACTCCCTTCATGCCCCCAGAAAATGTTTGAATTTATTGTCAATATCAAATGAAAGGAGAACATACAAAAAATATATATTTTGTACTACATGGCCTTAGGTATTTGCAAAGTGGTTACTTTTTAATACTTCAAACAGTTGAATCCTTCAGAACCTATATGTAATACATCAATTAGTGGGTTCCCCTATTCTTTCAAGTAGAAATATTCCCATCAAAGACCCTTTACTCTTGAATACAAAGGAACAGCAAGCTAAGTGGTAACTCTGGGGGCAGGGGCGGTTGTCTATTCCAGCCTGTTTTGTTACCTGGGTCATATATGACAGAGAATAAAATAAAGCTTTCTTAATTTTGTGACTCTGGTCTATCTCAGGACCCTGCAGTTTATGCTGTACCTGTTCCTAATGGATTGTCCATCCTCTTCTCTCCTCCAAACCTCACATACACCACCCAGATGCCATTCAGCACACTGGGCAGCAGAGGCTGCCAGGGGAAAGACTAGGGCATAATAATTTACAGATTAAGGCCTCCCTGAGCAGATCCAGAAGGGACCAGGAGTAGCCAGCTCATCTTAGTTGTGGTTCTAACTATAGTCCATTCTAAATTACTAGAGTTTTTGGCTTACAACAAGTCGCTTAATGTAAGGCTACTATGCCCACTTCAGTCATGTTCTTCACGGGCTCCCAGTGTGCAGCTGGGATGCTGTTCTGATAAAATAAGCTGTTCGGCTTATAACACTGAGAGCATGCACCACCGAATCTATCCTAGCCAACTCTGATGATTAAAGGATGCGAGGGGAAAACGGTTCCATTTTTGGATAAACCTGGAATGTCAGTCAATACTGAAAGTAAACATGATGACAGAGAGCTGCCTGGGATCAACTGGATTTTATTCTCCAGAGCACAAAAAGCAGGCTCCGGAGGGCTCAGCCCTGCGCGCATGCACGACGCCATCCAGGGCTGCTTTGCAGCAGCAGGGAAGGAACTGCAGGGAAGGACACCTGCAGGATGCAGGTAGAAGGGGCCCTGGGACGCAGACGTGTCTGGTGCCCTGGCTGAGAGATCATAGGACCTTTCTCCTCATGCTGGAATGAGGGTGCTGGAGCTGCAAGCCGCAACTACCACCTCCAGTCGGAGATGCAGATTCTCTGCACCAGGTGGCAGGCATGAGATCATTTGAAAGTGCGACCCTGGATGCTTCCCTAAAAGAGCGCGCCATGTTTACCCCAGGCAGGTGCTTTCGGCTCTGTCTTAGGGTCTTCCTTATCGGTCGGTCAAGCTCTTTGGCCGAAGCCCCCATTTCTCTGATGCTGTCAAAATACGGATGCTGTAACAGCTGTTCACATGTCAGTCTCTCAGCAGGATTCATGTGGAGACAGCCCTACAAGAACAGAAGAAGTCCCCATTCTTACTTCTTTAAAATTGTGTTAACTTATTAAGATCTTTTTTTCTTGGGCGCCTGGGTGGCTCAGTTGGTTAAGCGACTGCCTTCGGCTCAGGTCATGATCCTGGAGTCCCGGGATCGAGTCCCGCATCAGGCTCCTTGCTCAGCAGGGAGTCTGCTTCTGCCTCTGACCCTCTCCCCTCTTGTGCTCTCTCTCATATTCTCTCTCTCTCAAATAAATAAATAAAATCTTTAAAAAAAAAAAAGATCTTTTTTCTTTCTTCTTTGATGGATCAAACCCTTCAGCTGGGAACAGGAAGGGGGAAACGTAGCAAAAATGTGCCAATCGTGATTTTAGTTCCTTCCACAATTATTCCTAAATGGATAACCACATAATAAGTAAATAGTCTCTAGAAATAGTAACAAAAAAATCATTGTCTTCGCTTTATTCTGTCGAGGAGGCAGCTGGTGCTCTGCCCTGAGGGAGTAGGGTACGATTTTTGAGTTCGCCTCAGTATCCAACTGGAATAATCCACTTAACCAGTTTGGTCCCTTGTATATACCTTTAAAAAATTAAGGTTTTTATTTAAAAAATAATGCCTACAAGTGGTAAAAACAAAATTCATACAGAATATAGCCAAGTCTCCTCACCACTCTAGTTCTTCCATTCCCCCTTCCAGATTCAGCTTCTTTTTCTCTGGTATATTTTTCCAGAAATAGTCTAAGCATCACAGCATACATACGCATGCTTGGAAGGAGAGGCATAATATACATGCCTTTGTATTACATCATTCTTAACTATTTGCTTTAAGTAGGCCATCCGGCTCATACTTGGATAGATTAAATCTCACAATTATATACCCCAAGGAACTGTCTCAATTTTTTTATTATATCACAAATGCAGGGCACCTGGGTGGCTCAGATGGTTAAGCATCTGCCTTCAGCTCAGGTCATGATCCCAGAGTCCTGGGATCGAGTCCCATATCAGGCTCCCTGCTCCTTGGGAGCCTGCTTCTCCCTCTGCCCCTCTCTCTCTCTCTCTCTCTCTCTCTGTCTCTCATGAATAAATAAAATCTTTAAAAAATAAAATAAAATGTTTAAAAAAAAACAAACAAACAAAAAAAACAAATGCATCGGTAAATGTATTAAACACTTTGAAATGGGTGGGGCATGGACTGTAACTTGCAAATGTTTTACTTGGTACCTGATTTTACATAAGGGCTATATATTTCTGAAAATCAAAGTTTTAAAATCAAAACCTACTTCAAATATACTGGGGGGGGGCATCTCTTTCTGCCCACAGATCCTATATCCGTGCTTTAATAAAACCACCCTTTTGCACCAAAACAAAACAAAACAAACAAAGAATATACTAGGGGGTTGGCTATTTAAATGGATCCTATGGTACAACCCCCTCGCGTCCCTTCCCTCCTTGGGAGCTTTGTAGTTATCACTTTGCTATGGCTCAATAAACCTTGCTTTGCTGCCCCAATATAATCAACCAACCAATCAATCAATCAAACCTATGGCCCAACATTTTTTGAAGAAAAGGATCCCTCTGTAAGACAAGTACTATCCCTCTGAAATGTCTATTTTCTGTAAACTTAGATTTCAAATACAAAATACTGGGTTTATTTCAAGTGAAAAACACCTACAGACGTTTTCATTGTAATTGAATGGGAATAAAAATTGAAGTATTTATACTTCTCAAAGGAGAAGGAGACTTCTAAAAGGAGCACTTTTCCATTCATGAACTGACATAAATCATTCAGACTCCCCAGTGACAACAGTCTGTTAGAAACTTTGATTTTACCTTTAAGAGCCGTAGGGCAGGATAAGAGATGTTTGGAAATTTTAATTCCAGTGGTTCCTGTTTTAAAAAGAAGAAAAGAAAAGGGGGTTTTATTTACAGTATGTGTTCAAAGATAAGGTGACCTCAGATGGCATGTCTTCCGAGTGAGAGAACCATCTTCCTGGCACCTTTCTGGCCTCCTCCACCCTCTGCCCACCGACCTCCCAGCTGAAACAACCTCCTTGTGCCTGTTTCACAAGCTCCTTCTCTCTCCACCTCCAAACTTCTTTTCCAAATTTTCCTCCTCACCACTCCCTTCACTTCCCGAAGAGCTGACGCAGGTCGCACATTATGAGGGAACATTAATTAATGAGAGGAAAAAAAAACCCACTTGTGAGGCAACTGTTATTACTTTTCTTCTGCCTCAATTTATATCACTTGCCTTTCCTCAGAATAATTTTTGGCATTTATATTGGCATTTAAAAGAGGCCCCAGTTTTTGCATTTATTGACAGTTATATAAAGGAAGCTTCAAAATAGATTTTTTTTTTTTCCTACCTAGGTGAACAGATGCTTCTAGGTTTTTCTGGAATAAACATTGTTTTCTCCTCCCACAAGAGCCTGCTGTTTCCCTGTTCATCCTACTGTTTTTAAAGAGTCTCCGGAGCAGACATTCATCAATCTCCCTTTGGCCATATAAGGCTATTTCGCTGCAGTCACATGCTAGAGACAATCAGGAATAACAAGCGCTATAAAGCAGGAGGAATGCTGAATGTCAGGCGGACAGACAGGCCTGTTAAAGAGAGAGACCACTAACAGAGGCTAATTAAGGAGGGCAGCTGAGAGCAGGGAACGTCTAAAGAGATGGCAGTTGTGAGCCCGAGGCTGGAGTGACTGGCCAGCCTCATTTAATGAAATACGATTCTGGGTGCTGTGCACAGAGTTATTTTGCACAGGGAATCAGCCCCCAAACCACCAAATTCCCAGTGTGCACTTAACTAATCACTGATAGGGTAAGAGATTAGAGCCTCAGTTGTGGAGTTCCCTAAGATCACCAGGAAAAAAAAAAAATCCTACAGCAGATTTGTATTAGAACCTTGAATGTAGCCTTCCCCCCCCACCCCCCACTTATCTTCAATATTTCTCTTGCTATTTCTGCGTGTTAAATCTGAGCACTGCTGGGGACTGACTGACAGGACATTGATGACACTGAGCTCTGCTGTCTCAGCAACAAGGCCTGGGCTGAGGCTGGCCAGTTGCTGCGACAGGAGGGCCCATCCTGCCTGCTGGGTCCCCAGCGCCAGAAGCCCGCAGGGAGACTGACCAGCAGAGGGACTCCGGCACAGATGTGTTCCCACCCACCCCCCCTTGGGCAGCCCCCGCACTGCGTCTTCCTGTGTTTCTGTCAACAGGAAATCCCCTGCAGGCCCGCCTCTGGGAAACCTTGGGAAGCTTTTTACATTTATGAAGCCTGGGTTATTTCCCGAGTCTTCACTGGCAGACAAGTGAGCAGGAAATCACTAAGTGATATTTAGTGTGGAATTGGGAATGTCCAGGTCACAAGGGAGCCCGCTGGGTCACCTCCCATATGCCAGGTGTCATTCCTGTCTCTCTGTCCCAGCACGCTCCCAGCATGACCCACTTTTCCTATTCCTAGCAGTGCAAGGGCAGGAGGCAGTGGGGAAGGGGAAAGCCTCCAACTGTGGGACAAGCCAAGAGGTTGAGCTCAAATGGAACTTGACAGAACTTCCATCTGGAAACTGAACAATCAGAGCCTTAGTTTCAGTTTTTGAAAGTGCCTTCCTTAGACAACAGAAACTCATGATTTCACAACCCTTAACTGTGCTCTGAAATGTTTTTAATTATAATGCAGATTCATTTGAGGACATTCAAAAAATATTAAAAAAACCATAAAGAAAGAAGTCATACCACCACAGAGATACCACTGTTAATATTTTGGTATATACCCTTGCAACCGTTTATTTCACAAACGTAAAAAGCTTTGCATGATTTTCCAGAAGTTGTCACGTTATTTTATATTTATATATGTAAGTATATGTATAGATGAATTGTGTATTTATTAAACATGTATTAAAATTTTGCCAAACTATATATACTGTTTTATAACCTTTCTTTTTCATTTAGCAGTACATTATGGACTTTTTCTCAGGTGAATACATAATACATCTATTTTTACTGGCTCTCTGGTATTTCTATTGTAAGGATATACCATAACTTATTTAATGAATCCCCTACTGATGGAACACTAAAGGAAACAATTTCTAGTAAAGAATGCTACATATTATGCCCCTGTCTACTGGTTTCACTGCAAAAAATTCTTGAAAGTGGGTTAAGACTATGCACATTTCAAATGTTTGAGTTTTAAAAAATGAGTATTTTCTCTACACTGGCCATAGAGGACAGATACCAGAATGAGGCTGGCCAAGCAAGCCCCTCCGTGGTTCCTGCCACGGCCTGGGCACTAAGAGTACAGCAGGGGCCTGGGCGATGCTGGACATTCCTGGCTACGTCATCGTGTGACCTATGCCTATTGCTTCAGCTGCTGAACATGAGGAAGAACAGGTGAGGTTAAGGCAGGCAGCTCGGCGTCCCCGTCCAACATGCTGGCTAGCTCTCAGCGACTGCTGACTTCTCACTGAGGGCCAGGGTCTGCCCGCCAATTTGCCCCACTTTTCTTTTTCACGTTGAGACTCACCTTCCCGTGCAGAGGGGGCTACGGGGCTCGGGCAGCTGAGTAACTACCAAAATCCTGTCAGCCTGCAACTCCCCATGTAAAGAGAAGGATCACCACGTACACACCTGGTAACCTTAGCCCTGACGTGCAGAGATCTTTCCAAATCGGGTCACTCACCATATCTTCAGGGTCTGGAATTTTCACCCCACTGAAGTACTGATTCGTGCTAAATATTTGTTGGTGCCTAGGAATGAGATCTCCTTTGGACAAGAAGAAAGGCGGGTAAAATGAGATTGGTTAGCAAGCACTGACCTCTGGCTTCTCCCCATCCGTGCTGTGTCTGTGCCCACAACCAAGGAAGGCTGTCATCTGCTCTTTCGGTCAGAGGGAGCATTGAGGCAACCCTCCACAGCTTGTACTGAGACCTCGGGGGCCGAAGCACTGTGTCAGGTGTACAGGAGGCCTGCACGGGTCCTGAAGGCTACGAGCAACTGTGCCTCAAGGGCTCACGGTGTACTGGAGGAACCCAAACAGCTCAGAAGCGCGCACACACACACATAAAATAATGCCTTTTTAAAAAATAGCCTAAGTGCAACAAGTACAAGGCAAAATCCTATTCATTGAATTCTGATGGGTCAATATAAAAGTGTATTGGCTTAGCGCTTAGAATAGTGCCTGTCAATAAGTATTTGAGGAAAGAAGTGGGGAAAGAGGAAGAGAGGAAGGAAGAGGGATGAAAGGAGAGAAGGAAGGAGAAGGATGGGAGGGAGGGATGGAGGAAGGGAGGGAGGGAGGAAGGAGGGAGGGAGGAAGGATGGAGGGAGGGAGGGAGGGA